GGGGGTGGGCTGCTGGCGGCGGGGCGGGGGGGGGGGGGGGGCGCGACTGTTTGCACGGGGATAAGGGTCCAGCACCGTTTTGCAGGTGGGGGTTTGCACGCCTGGTTGCAGAAAGGGGCTGCAGGTGTGTGGGGGGGTGCACGCCTGATTGCACGGGGATGGTGCAGGTGGGGGCTTGCACATGGGACCTTATGTGAGGGGTTGCAGAGGGGGGGTTTGGCACCCCTGGCTGCGGGGAGGACTGCGAGCAGAGTTGTAGGGTGGCTGTCACGCCCAGTTGCTTGGCGGGGGTTTGCAGGGGGTTTTTGTACATCTCATTACGCGGGTGCTGCAGGCATGTTTCTGCGTGCCTGGTTGCATGGAGGGCTGGGCTGCAGGTGGGGCTTTGCACCAGGCGTGTTGCACGGGTGATTGTGCAGGGGGGGTTGCGTGTCTGGTTGCACACAGGTTTGCCCACCCAGAGGTTATACCCTCTCCTGGAGGCACGGCGGGACTTGGAGGCAGGCGCTTCCCAGCTTTGCTCTTCCTGGCAGACCTGTTCCGGTGCATTCCCCCGCATGTGCAGTTGCTGCAGGATCGCTCACCACAAGGCAGGCCAGAGGCTTGCTGAACGCTCCCGTTAAAATTTGGGTACTCTCAGCTTTGGGCCTTCGGCTGTCCATCTCCCATTAGCATCTCCCTGTCAATGGCTGTGTGGGCCTTGCAGTTAAAATTGCAAAAAAAAAAAAAAGCCACAAATAAAGGATGTAGAAACTCCTTGAATGGGGAAACGTGCAGGGGATGATGTGATGCCAAAGCAAACCCACAGGCAAACCAGCTGGGTCCTGCCAGATGTGGCCAAATCTCAGTCCAGGCTTCCTGCAGTCCCCGTGACTGAGAAGAAGCCGGTGGTGTTGCTGTTAATTTGCATTATTTTGTGTTAATGTGCATGAAGGCAGCTTTGCATTTGCATATTGGGGAAGGTAGATGCAATAGCATAATTCTTTTAAGGCACCTCTGGGTGGATATATATGGTTTACAGATATCTGGAAGCGTGGAAAAGTTTTTTGCTAGTTAAAATTAAATAATATTTCTATATTTAAAGCTTGGGTCCTGGAAGATGCTGATCTCCAGCCCCACCGGGGCCGCTGAATCATGCCTGTAAGCCACTAACATCCGTAATGCTGAGTACAGGCAGTGCCCTGCCAGGCTGGAGGTGTTAGTCCCCTCCTAGACAAGCAATTCCAAATATTTATATGTTGATTCTTTTAACTTTGAGACACAAATAGCCAGAGACACTTTGGCAACTCCATGACAGAACAAACAAAAAACAACAGGAATCTCTGCTGATGTATTCTGCTTTGTGTGAACTGAGCAGGGGAAAATATTTCCTGTTTCAGGATCAGTTCAGCCAGCCCGTTGTGCTGGTTATTTGAGAAGGGGTTAAAAATGGGGTCAAAAAGACTGAATCTTGCCAATTTGGTGCTGTATTTGGTCTGGAAGGTATTTTATTGTAGGGGCTCTCGAATACAAAGCCGCCCACTAATGTAGAAATGGGTGGTTTGCCGAGGGGGAGAACCCACTGCCATGCTGCTTGTGGTACCAAGGGCAGAGCATCGCTCTGTCTGAAACTGGAATTTAGCTGTGGTGGCTGAAATTGAAGTGTTTTCAAAATACACATTTGGAAAAAAACCCACACATTTGGAAATAAAAGTTTGTTGGGGTGGTTGAGGCAGGGTTTAATACTGGTGATACTCTGTCACTGCAGAGTTGCACTTGCTGCGTACGTCGCCCATATTGTGGGGTTTAAACTGAGCCTGCTATCCTCCGGTATTGGCATTACCTGCATCAGGATCAATTTAATTTCAGATTTGCTGTCTGCTTTTGGACAGAAGCATTAAAAAAGCATTTTGGGGTAAAAATGCGTATTTGGAAATACGATGCCATGCGTCTGCATCCTCCCCGTGCAGCCCTCAGCCCAGACACTGGGCTTGCACCTCATCTTGTGCCAGTTTGCTACAGGAGTCCTGGTCCGAGAGGCGTGCCATGAAGTAAATGGAAGAAAAATGGAAGAGTTGAGGAATAAAAGGAAAATAAAGCTTTTTTGGTTTGGATTCAGTTGCTCCATGTGTTGCTGGTGGAAATGGTTCGTATTCACTCGGGTGCTTTAATGCCTGACGTAAGGTTGGTATTGAAGGAGGCACTGGGACAAGATAACTCGCAAATAATAAATGCGGGAGACCAGTCTCAGCCCTCCTCAGTAATTGTGTAAATCTGCACAAAGTCAAGTTTCCTTCCCCAAAATGCCATCCTCATCTAAACAGGCCTCTCAAAAAAAAAAAAAGGGGGGTTGCAAACCTCAGAGCTGGTTAACTCCTCCTCTGTAGTTGTGTGTGTTCCATGTGCATTGCTGGCTTTTTGGGGGGCTGAAACCAGGCCACTGTTAACCCCCCTCTGTGGTTGCTCCTGTATGAGTGCTGTGCAAAAAGCTGGATCACCAA